ATTCCCGGAAGGAGGAGTTAACTAGATTAACCTTCGTGATGAAGATATATTTATAATTGTTATAGTACGACTTTTCATTTTCTGTTCGATATTTTAATAAGTAATCAGTTGCGGACGTAGTCAAACTTAACATTGATTGAATTAAGAGGTCTACGATCATGAAACATGACAATTTAATTTATGTGGTACGCACCACACAGAATGTGAGAAAATGACAATAATGATTCCTTATGTTTAACGATAAGTTCTCCCACACCAAGGGTCTATATACCCTAACATGATGTGTTTTTTTATATAAAAAAAGTATGAATTCAAAAAATAAATAAATTATATTCTTCACAAATTCACAAATATATAATGTATTACTTAAGCTTCAAAGTAACCAAATTCTTTAAGCATATGATTCTTGGATTGTGATTACATGCCATTCATATTTTATCAATAAAGAGAATATCCCTAATTATATTTCCCTTGACTTAAAAAGTGATTTTTTTTCTCATTTTCAAAATTAAATGGATATATATGGATAAATGATTCATTTATAGCATATGCTTTTTTCATTAATGTATTTCCACGACAACTTTATTTTTTTATTTTTTTTTAAAGTAGCATAATTTATGGCTACCATGTATTTTATTTTTTTAAGTATATGCTTTTATCTTTGCATAATTTTGGTATGCCTACCCCATAATTTAAAAAGAACATGGAAGGTTATGGATTAGAATATTTAGATTCTTGAATACACGTGTATTTAAGAACAATAATCTTTGGTAATTTTAGTGCCTAGCCAGCTACATGTCTGCATGAAAAGAAACATTATATATATATGGTTCGATATATCGATAAACTTTTAAATTTGATCGTAAATTTTATATAGAAATTTGAACTGTGGTTTGTTACAATTTAGCACATGTTTGGACATCATGTTTTATTATATAGATAAGTTAACCACATAAAATATGTTATTTTTTTATATTGTAGACATCATTCTCAATAACTAACAAACCTAAAGTTCTACAACTTAAAATTGAGGTTAATTCATATATAATTAAAAGAGGTGATCACATCTTTTAATTAAATGGTTAACTTATCTATGCAATAAAATATTTGAGAAAGCATGTGCACAAAAGAATCTTCAAAATTTGAACTGAAAGTGTCAGATATAGGAACAATTTATTATGTGCTCAACTGGTTAATTGAAACAAGGCATAATTCGAGTGTTTAAATGAAAATTACCAACAAATTTAAAGAACTGTCAATGTATTAATCGCATATATATATATATATAAAGATTATTTCTTTTGGTACTATCAATATATGTATTTTAAAATAATATAGCAAGGTAAGTTATTTATTTGATGGGTCTACAAAGTCTAATGTAAATAATGATATATGTTTAAATATAGTAGTTTTAAATTAAAGGGGTACAATAATGTATCAAAATGTCCTTTAAATTTTATCATAGAAAAGACTTTACATGTCGCATGTCATATTATATACAATTAAGAAATTTATTAAAATCGATATTCTTTTTGAAACATACTAAACAAAAATAAAATGTATAGATGAAAAACTATTATTTTTATTTTATAAGTGACCTAATTATCATATAGACATTTCTTTTTTTAAAATACATACTTAGACCCTAAGAAATTAAAATGTGGCACCATAAATATGAATTACTAGTGTCCGATAATTTGGAATAATATAATGCTGTAATGTCGAAGGATATTTCATCTTATTGTCGTACTATAAAATCTTTTTATATATATATATAAAAATTTATTTTCTGGTAATAAAATTCTGATTCTTGAAATGCATCAATTAAGAATCATAATCTTCTGGAAGTTTATGGATGAGGAAAAAGAACATATTATTCTCTATAATATTTGTGATGTTGGGTTCATTGCCATTTGTCTTCATCTATTTTGTCTTACAATATAATTTCTTTTTTTTTTCAAAGGGAAATAAGGATGTGTTTGGCATGAAAAGGAAAATATTTCTTTAAAAGATAAATGATTTTTTGTTACTTATTTAGTATATTATCTCAAAAATATTTATACATAACTATTCAAACATTAAGGACGAGGTGGGAGTGTTAGGGGGAGAGTTTGATAACGAGAATAACTTTGATCCAAACTCTATGTTTATCTTGAAAATTCATTGAATATATACAATTATTAATTTAGAACTCAATTGCTTAAAATGACTAGCTAGAATTTTGAATTTATAAATTTTCAAATTCTGACTATGCCAGTAAAATAGAATGTGTTGGAGGCTGCGAAGAAGACAATTAGTATGAACTTATTACCGCTTTTTTTTTTTAAAAAAAATATACTTAGAATTTTTTTATTTTTTTTTACTTATTTAGTGTGTGCTACATAGGTAAACAAAATGTATTATTTCAGATCTATTTATGTATAATCTATGCAAATATTGTGGGGTGGAGGAGAAGGGTATGGAAATGAGACAATCGAGTTTCACTTATGTAACTTCTTTTTCATGCTCCGATCAAAAAGGTTATATTTTTCAAAAAATTTCCAATTAAATATGATAAAATTAAAAATATTTTTCTTCGATAACAAACATAGCCTTAAGTCTTTTATTTTTCTTGTCATATTTTTTTCTTAAATGGAAATTAAAGGATGAGTGTCTAAAGTCGAAAATTAGCAAATATTAGTGTCACAATTATGCTTTTTTTAATTACTTGTGTTTGAAGGTTAGTAGCAAAAAATGGATCTTCTTTTATACCCATTTACAATTAGCCAGGAATATTTTGATACAATTTTAGGTAGTGAGTTTAAACTAACTTTATAAATCCACTACTAAAAATTAGGCCAATGGCAATAATTCTAAAATTGTTCATCCATGAATCTAATTCAATTACTTTTCATAAAAAAATTCCACCACATTTTTGGAATCTTATGTTTCATCCTACAGTAAAATTAGGTCTTGGACCTAAATTAACTATCAATACGAGACTTTTTTTCATTCTTCAACATCTCTATCTCACCTTTTAGGATTGAACATATAAAACGTGAACAATTATTTAATTTGGAAGCTCAACATTGGATGAGATAATACTGTTCATCTTAAGATCTAACTCGCGTTTTAAAAACTAGTTCGAAGAGAAGAGATTTGCTCAATATATAAAATATCGCCACATCTCATTAACCTTATAACTATTGATGTGGAACATTTTTTTTATTCTTCAACACCATCATATTTAATTTCAATTGAAGAACTAATTGAAAAGACATCAAATATATATATTTGATAAACAAGATGTCTCCATATATTTGGTGATCTTTTACTAACTTTGAAGAACTCTTCGTCCATGAATCTAATTCACAAACAAAAATGCTTTCTAGAATCCCTCTTTTTATGGGTCGATATGGATGTGCTATTAAAAGCAGATAAAAAATCGAGAGTCAAAATTGATGGACATCTTTAATATTTTTATAAAGCACGTTTTTTACTTTTCTCTCTCATTTTGATGTGAAATTTGTCTAAAATATCATATGTACCTCATCTTCAAAAATTTGACAATAATCCTATTTATCTGTCCTCATCGACCCACCCTCTGTCACTTAATATCACACCTTTTAAAAAATATATATATATACATAGTGCATATTGAGCCGCAATGTATATATAATCTTGATCAAGGATTTTATCCTTTAATTTATCCGGATATTCCTTATTTAAATCAATTATTGTCTCTTTTTCCTTTAATTTGTCCCTTCTTAGAATTTTCTTACTAAGAAGTGAGGACTTCATTGACTTATCATAGTGGCTAATTCATGGAAAATTAGATATGTGATATCACGTTAAGATAGATTCAAAATTTTAAATTTATGCGGTGATCTTTATCGTAATTTTAGGTTGATATATATAATAATAATATTAATAATAATAATAATAATAATAATAATAATAATAATAATAATTAACAGTATTTGTTTTCCTAATACTATTGACAAACTAAATTTGCACTTAATTTGCTACCAAATCAAGATAAGTACACATACTTGGATGCGCCTAATTAAATTCATTGCGTGAGGAAAACTTGCTAGGCTTGTGATATTAATAATTATGAATACAACAAACTAATTATCGTAATATTTCAAGTCCATAACTCGTATTATCTCATAAATTTATCCTTTACACTTTGTTTGACCTATCTCATAAATTTATCCTTTACACCTTGTTTGACTAGTTATTATAACTGAAGTTTCAACATATCATACCATATCATCCCCAACCTTACAAAGTTTCAACATATTATACCATACCATCCCTAACCCTACCTTCAATAAAGGATTCAATGATCTCTCATGAGTCTCAAAACTCTCAGATTCGAAACTCCCTACATGCATTCTCGATCAATCTTGCACGGAACTTACCTAATGTATATTATCTTTCGTATCTTATTTCCAAACTATTATACTAAAACAAAATTTATCTCCACAATTTCAAATTCCTTTATAAAAAGAAGGGAAAAAGGACAAATTAAATATACCTCCAAATTATCGTAAATGGTATGCAGATGCCCTCCGTCATACTTTTGGGACATTGGTGCCCCTGCCGTCCAAAAAACTAGAGCATATATGCCCTTCACTCTAACGGAAGACTAAATAGGGACACGTGACCCAATCTTATAGTCGATCCAATATTTAATAAATATCGAGTCGGCGGATAAGATTATGACATGTGTATGTCCGTTAGTATAAATGATATATATGCTCTAGTTTTTTGAACGACAAGGGCACCAATGCCCTAAAATTATGATGGAGAATATCTGTATATCATTTACGATAGTTCGAACCCTCGGGGTATATTTGTTCTTTTTCCCTTAAAAGAAAAAAACATATGCTAAAAACAAATACAAAAAAACTAACATATGATTACACAACATGTGGAACCAAACCTTTAGCGTTGTCCCCACTATTGTTTCTTCCTCCTCTTCTCTGTAAAAATTCAAACTATCAACGAAAAAGAACACAAAATTTTCTCAAATCTCTATGAAATCAAATCAATAATTCAATGAGATAAGAGAATCTTGATCCCTCCATCTTCCCATCCCTTCAATTGAACTAACTTTAACAGTACCCAACAAAAATCCAACTCATTTTTTCACCTTTTCAGCAATAAAAATTGAATCTTGAATTCTTGATAACATTGTTTTCTTGTTTTTTTCCCTTAAAAATCAAATCTTTTTTACTTTCCATAGATAAATTTGTCTTCTTGTTCTTGATTATTAGTTAAAAATCAAATCTTTTTTGTAGTTTTCTCAATGCAACCCTCAAATCTTCTTCCTATTTCTAACCCCAATTCACCACCTTCAATGTTGATTCCAACATCCTCTGCTACTGCTGACACAATGTTAGTCAGATCAGAACCCCATATTATACCCTCATCTTCTTCATCAACCATACTACTTGTTCAAGATGACGATGATTCAAAGATTGAGACAAAACCCCTTCTTACTAGAGCTTTTAGTTACTCTTCTTCGTCGTCTTCGTCGTCCAATTTAGTTATGCAGCAGAGGAGGCGCCGGATTGCCAGTGCAAATTCCCTTTTGTCTGGAGCTGTTGAGGGTTGTCGCAGAGAAATGGGAAGGGCTGCTTCTGATACTTATGTTGTAACTAGGCTTAGCTTTAGACTCTTGCGATATCTCGGGTAATAATCTCTTTTATAAAACTGTGTTTTGGTTATAATTTTTTGTTTAGTATGATGATGATGATGGTATGCAATGAGCTTAAATGAAGAAGCGGAGATTCATATATGCGACATCAACTTGTTTGGGATTGAGGCGTAGTTGTTGTATTTTTGTTGGAATGATTTATTTAGTATGATGATGATGATATGAATGAGCTTAAATGAAGAAGCGGAGGTTCATATAGATGAGCCCAACTTGTTTGGGATTGAGGGGTAGTTGTTGTATTCTGGTTGGAATGATTTATTTAGTATGATGACAATGATATGAATTGAGCTTAAATTAAGAACTGAAGATTCATATAGGCGACTCCAACTTGTTTAGGATTGAGGTTTAGTTGTATTATGGTTAGAATGTTTTATTTAGTATGATGATGATGATTATATGAATGAGCTTAAATGAAGAAGTGGAGATTCATATAGGTGACATCAACTTGTTTGGGATTGAGGCGTAGTTGTTGTATTTTGGTTTAGGATGTTTTATTTAGTATGATGACGATGATGATAATGATATGAATGAGCTTAAATGAAGTAGCGGGGATTCATATAGTTCATCCCAACTTGTTTGGGACTAAGGCGTAGTTGTTGTATTTTGGTTATAGTGTTTTATTTAGTATGATGATGATGATATGAGTGAGCTTAAATGAAATAGTGGGGATTCATATAGTGGACCTTAACTTGCTTGGAACTGAGGTGTAGTTGTTGAATTCTTGTTATAATGGTTTGTTTAATATGATGATGATATGAAATCAGCTTAAATGAAGAAGTGGAGATTCATATAGCCAATCCCAACTTGTTTGGGTTGAGGTGTAGTTGTTGTATTCTGGTTATAATGATTTTATCGGTTACATGTTTGGATTTGTTTATATTTGAGTTTGTGTATTGGTTTGTCTTCTGGGAAATATTGTCTTGAACTTTGACTGTTTTAAGGGAAAAGATCCAATTTGCCTCTATACTATCCGGAATTGCTCATATTTGCGATTTGTTACAATTTTAGTTCATTCATACCTTGGCCATTAGAAAATAACTATGCATTTGTCTTGTATTTTTCCTTTACCATTAACAGAGATCTAATATGCACGTGCTAAACTCTTCGAGAAAAAAAAGGTTCAAATTTGTTCCTCAACCCTTGTCTATGGGTTACAATTACCAGTTGGAGCGCCGTTAGGGGTCAAGGGAAATAATGAGACTTTTTCCGATTAGTGAGAGTAAAATTAGACAAAGTTTATACCAGCTCAAAATTTATAAGTGGTCTAGCATTACATGTAACCATGGTTTTACCAGCTTTGGAGACAACACTAGTTGGGAGTATGTTTCCTTATAGAGTTCACGATCAATTATACTTCAGGTGTTAGGAAAGACCAATCATACTAAAGAGTAAGTCACCCGTCTTATTTCACCTTTCATGTAGTTTAATGTGTTATTGGAAGTAGTATAAGATGAATGAAAAGTGAAATGAGAAGGCAACCGATTACACCTGAACTTACACAGAATACAGTCATACAGAACAAAGGAAGGGGTTAACTTGAGGGACAGGAACAGATGCCATAACTGGCAGTAAGAGTATGTTGTTCACTTTCACTTCTAATGATTTGAGGATAAGTTTCTAGTGATGCTATTATATTTGGTGGGCTGGCTTTTAGCTTGCATATTCAAGAAGCTGCTTACCAACAATGACAAGTTGGAAGTGAAGTGGAGGGAATAAGCTTTTCCTGCTGGCCTCCTAGGAATGAATTCTCTGCTGGCCTCCTTTTCCTGCTAACCAAACTTAAGGAGGGAGAACACGTGTCTACTGATTTTCTTCTTTCCTCCATCTACATAAAAGAGTTATGCATGATGATTCCAACCTTTTCCATGCCAGGTTATTGTGTCTTAGATCAGCATGTCCAAGTCACCTCCTAGAGATATGTGACCCTGCCATCTTAGATGGTCAAGTTAAAACTATGATTTGTCTCTATGCCGTTTATGCCAAATATTCTCACCTGTGAATAGGTCGGTTCATCTATCTGAAGGTTTCGCCCTATCAAATTTTACACTACACAACAACTTCTTAGATATTCTTTATTGTTGCATATCAGTAGAGCCATTGAAGTAGACTAGTAAAATTCAGCTTCTCCACATGTTATAAAGAAACCACTTGATTGCTTATCACCCAAATGTTCCATTTCACCCTAGCCTTTCAAGAGGAGCTTTTAGAATGCCTAGCACTCTTTTAATATTAACTTTTATAGTTAGCCAATCAACGTCACTGCAATCCTCTCTTAGTAACTCTTTGAATATTCTATGCTGTAGGGATATATTCATATCTCAAATCTTAATGTCTAATGTATATAAACGGCACTTTCTAAATGTTTTCTGGCTATCCACCTTTGTTCAGGGTAGGGTACAGATGGATTGCCAGGTTTCTTGCCCTTGGCTGTTATGCTATGCTGCTTATACCTGGTTTTATTCAAGGTCTGAAACATCTCGGATATGTCATCTGAACACCTGATTTTAAATATCTTGTTGACTTCATATTTTAGAATATAACGCCCATAAATAAATCATGCTTGTCTGATGCAGTTGGATATTACTATTTCTATTCCAGTCAAGTACTTAGAGGCATTGTTTATGGTGATCAACCGAGAAATAGGTATACTTTGTGGAATTCAGTCCTTATTTTCATAGGATGCTTGAGCATACTTTTGTATGTCTTCATGGATTTATACCTGGTTAAAGTTTCATGGTGCAGGCTAGATCTATACCTGCCGAAAAATATGAACGGGCCAAAGCCAGTTGTTGCATTTGTAACAGGTGGAGCATGGATCATTGGGTGCGTAATTAAGTCATTTCCTTCAATTACATCCATTTATCCTTACAACCGAGGAATATCCTATGTTGTAAAATCTAGTCTGAGATAATATGAGCTGCCAGTTTTTATCTGTATGCTAAGTGTGGAAACTGTTACATTTTCTTCAAACCATTCACATTATAAGCATCGAAAGCTGATCTATTAGCTTTTCAGCATGAATGTTTGAGGATTATTATTCCTGCGGCTTACTATGCTACGTGGCTACACCGTAGAAGCTTTTACTCTTACATTGTAAACATTAATCAACACATAGTTAAAATAGTGACTCCTTCTCTTGTTTAAGCGAGCCAGTGACGGTTTGATAAAATTTTGTTCTTAGTTATTCTTTCTTCTTTGTGTTACAGCTACAAAGCTTGGGGTTCTCTTCTAGGACAACAATTGTCAGAAAGAGACATTATTGTGGCATGCATTGATTACAGGTGATTACTATTTCATCTGAGAAAACCAGTGCTTTTTTGGGCTCAATGTACATTTGCATGATGGATCGTTTAGATGTATGAGTTTTGTAGTTCATGTTCTCTATTTCTTGCACATTTCTGAGTTATTAGTTTTTAGTTTTTTTGCTTTCGTAGGAAAGATTTAGGCATTTCAACTTATTTACCACATGATACGTTATCTGAAAAAAAGAAAAAAAGGATTTCGCTAATACCTTTCTTGTAACTTTCACAACCTACAACAATCTTGTTCTGTGTAATGATACAATAGAACGAACTGGTCTAATATCAGAAAGGCGAAAGCAGAGTGTTGGTTTACCATATATGTGATGATGCATCTAAAGAGCATTACTTATTTTCTTTTCCTCATAAAATAATCTTTCTTGCATCCAAGCACAAAGATCTTTCTCACAATATAACTCCCAACTCATCCGAAAGGAGCCAGCTAATATGATTGGGAAATATTAATCTAACAAGTTGAAGAGGATTAAGAGAAGAACAATGTCCAAGATGTGATGTAAGCTTTGCGCAACCGAGGAAGAAAAAATTCCAAGTCAAACTTTCTCCCGTTGTTTCTCTCACGTTGCATATACTATATGTTGGATCATTCGATGGACGCTTAAATTGTACTTGTATGCAGCCACTAGTTGGTTTTTGATAACTAAAGGCGTTACATTAATTGTTTGCAGAAATTTTCCTCAGGGAACAATTAGTGACATGGTTAAGGATGCTTCTCAAGGTATCTCCTTTGTTTGTAACAAGATAGCTGAATATGGAGGTGATCCGAACAGGTAGCCGAGTTGTTTTCCTTACATTCTCATGAATAATTCCCTCTAATTAAGAATGAAATATCATGGTTTATTCTTCTTCTAGAATTTACTTAATGGGACAATCCGCTGGTGCACATATTGCTACATGTGCTCTCTTGGAGCAGGCAATCAAGGAGACTGGTGCCGAACCGAGAGCTTCTTGGAGTGTCTCCCAAATAAAGACATATTTTGGTCTATCTGGCGGGTAAGTTCTTGTTCAAGTTCTGGGACTACAAGGCTTAGAATTTTTTGCCACTTCTTCCTTTAGGTCTTCTAAAAACCTTAAATTCCCAGATGAAGTTAGAATTTCAATTGAACTGAGTCCAGATTTTGTTGTATTTAAACTGACGGTCTATCGGAAACACTCCTCTCTACCTATGAGGTAGGGGTAAGGTCTGTGTACACTAGGTATGTTGTTGTTGTTGAATGATATACGAAGTTCATTAGATTCCATTAAATTAATTTGATGATATTTCCTTATGATTTTCCATCAACTTGCAAGCACTGTCATTTCTGTTTCTCTTTGAGCTCAAAGCGTGTACTTAGCAATTGTTGCTATAGAAGCTATGAGTTGCTTAATAAGGTCACGGGCAAAATGATTAATGAAGTATCTCTTTTCTTGATTTTGGTAAGTGGAATTGATTGAACTAACACACCATTTTTTAACACATGGGCAGGTATAATATCCTTAAGCTTGTTGATCACTTCCATAGCCGAGGTTTGTACCGTTCCATTTTTCTAAGGTATATATGTTACTGACTTCTGGTACATGAATGCTTTTACAAACGCATACTGCTATTAAATTTTTCCAGTACATATCGCTGATATTGTTTTTAGTACTTGCACAGTATAATGGAAGGGGAACAAGGTCTGAAACAATACTCACCAGAATTAATGGCTCAGGATCCAAACACAAAAAATGCTGTCTCTCTTCTTCCTCCTATGGTCCTTTTCCATGGTACCGCAGATTATTCCATTCCGTGTGATTCCAGGTCTAGACCTCCTCTTCATGCACTTATTTACTATACAATTCAGTTACTAAATATAGAAATGTATCATCCTTTTTGGGATTGACTAAAAACGGAAGGGTGTCACATAAAACGGGACGGGGAAGAGCAACTTTTATGCGTTATAGTTTCAAGTTCACCATGAGTGTATGCTCGATATACTAAGTTGGAATGAGTTTATCTGAACTAGATATTCAGGCCATTGCCATTCATTTTAGTTAAACTAATTTGACTGGTTGAAGATTTCCTTAGTAAATGGTAATTACTAATAGCATTTCATGTAGACCCTTAATACTTGCTAAGTGTCCAACATTGGTTGAGGAATGAGTTGTTATATCAATCATCGCTTTCTGAACTAGCTTTTGAGGTTGAGTTAGGCCCATAGTTCATTTCTTAACAAGGTACCGAAGTCAAGAGTCGTGAGCTAATTTTTGAGGTTAACTCAGGCTCCGAGGTCCAATATCTGTCTTACTTTTTGTATGAACACCTCGTTGTCCTCAATTACCTGCCACCGCCAACCCTATATATCCAATTCATTGGGACTTTTCATGTTTGTCTGTGGCCCTCTACCCATCATATATCAGAATTTCCGTTGCAAAACCTATCATTGCATCAACGCAAGTCACAGGCGGAACCAATATAACCAAGAATGAGGATAGATGGTTTCGATTGCTAAAAATCCTCCATTTTGAGGCATTTCCACTGGATGCAGCCAGCCTATGTCACTAGGATATAAGCTGTATAGGTTAGATACATAAACTATGGAGCAGAGCAAAACTGGTTAGTTAACCGTAGAACCTAGTGGCTGCATGTAGTATGGAAAGGTAGCCCATAAAGTGATCTCCACAAGGTCCAAACTAGTTGGATAATGTATCGATGAGATGAACAGTAGACATTTGACCTTCAATTAGGAGGACTTTCTTTTGAAATGCCATGTGCTTGTTTTGTGCTATTCTAACAGAGTAACACGGTTATTCTTTTCAAATAGTATATATACTGTGTAGATCGAAACATCTTTTGCAAAGTTTGCTAATGTACGTATTTCACTCAATCCAGCAAGAGTTTTGCTGATACTCTTAAAGCTCTCGGTGTCAAAGCAGAATGTATCCTCTATGAAGGAAAGACACATACAGATTTGTTTCTTCAGGTAACTGATGCCTCATTTGCTTATATCGCGAAAAGTTCTTATACACATTATAGTCCTTCCCTTATCCGCGCTTGATTTTTTCTCTTCTGATTCTTGCTTTGGTAACGTTTAGGATCCAATGAGAGGTGGAATAGATGATATGTTAGATGATCTAATTACGCTGATTCATGGTGATAGCTCTGAAACCATTAGAGCAAATTCGACTCCAAGAAAACGACTTGTACCTGAGTTCATGTTGAAGATGGCTCGAAGTGTAAGCCCCTTTTAACGATCATTCTACTATTGTACCATAATCCATTGTGTTCAATTGGATCATTTTGAGCTCGATGAATCGCCAAAGCTTTCAATTAGATTAATTTTGATCCTCTTATTCCTTGTTTTAGTTAGTTTAAAGTGGACTTGCTAACAAAAGTAGCCATACAAATAGGTTATTCTTGGAAGGAAAAAAACCCTTCATTCAATTATTCTTATTGTAATATACTTCTGAGTATTTTTCTATTACCTATGTGTGTGTTCCTATTTCAAATAGGTATATTTTCTTTCATCCAAATATATTGATTTTTATCATGGACTTGTATTAGCACGTGCTTTATTACAATCATGCCCGACCCTTTAAACTTTTCAGATTGCAAAATTCAGCACACTTAATTAATATCATGGCAAATAAAGTCCATACAAAATTTAGTAGATAAAATTTACTTTTATATCATCTAATAAATATATGTCATATATCTTCACAAATAGTCAATTACATACATATTATTACCTTAATTTATTATTTAATCATGATAAATTATTTAAATTGATGTGAACATTTTATGCGCGTATAGACTAATCTACGGACTGGTGAGACTATTCTATATATAATAAAAATAAATTAGCTACTTCTCGACTTGGAAAAAACTTAGCACATGAAAAGTGGACCACAAGAAGTTTCATTTATGTCAATCCAATTCAAGCCCTAAGAAAAAAACAAAAATCATAAAAATAGTCTTTAACAACAATAAATATGCACATTAATAAAGAGAGGTAAAACTTTTACTGACATTAGTTAATTGCTATTGGATCAAATATCGCTATAAGCTTTAGGGACATTTATAAAGAGTGTATAATTGCTTTTAAAAGTACATATTTAGCGGCAATTAAGCTATTACTGTTAAAGATCATTTGAGTCAGACACAAGTTCCATTTCTTAACATACAGAGATTTTAATAGCTCGGTTGATTTGCTACTTAAAAGTGTTTTTGCAAATGATTAGCCAAACACAAATATAACTTCTCACCAAAAGTAAATACTTTTCAAAATAAGTTAGTTTTAGAAATTTAACGAAGCAAAGCTTACTCAAGACTGAAAACATCATAGTCATCAACTTAAGAGGACTTGACCAACTAAAATATTATAAATCAAATGTTCGAAAAATTATAATCAAATATCATTTGGTCATCTAATTTATATAATATATATATAAATATATATACTTTGATCATATTGATAAACTAATTAGCCAAAGAATACGTAAGTTTCCTATAAATGTTAGCCCAAGAGTCAAGCCCTCAAAAAGGAAAAATGGAAGTGATTTTTTTTTCTTTATTTTTTTGGTCATAGATTTTTTTTTCCAACAATAAAGGGTGCACACATTTATAAATTCCTTGTCAATGATCCCTTGAGAAATATTATAAAAGGACTAGCATATAAGCTTATTGATTAAAATATAATCACCTCATATAAGATAATAAAATTAATTCCTTTTTGCTCCAATTTGATCTCCATGAATCACAAAGCATTATTCCTAGCTTTTTTTGTCATAATCCTCTGTCTATTCTCAGCAACCTCTAGAAGATTGACAGGTGTAGTATTAATCCCTTTATTGTAATGTATAGGGATGGAGCTAGGTAAAATTGAGCGGTTTTTTTTAGTAGAAAATTATATTACTATTTGTTTTTTTTGTACTTCGATTATTGTATTATTTTGTTGTAGTTACTGTTCGGAATGATTAATTATCATTTTTTTTAATAGTATTTTGCCTTGAGTACTTCTTTACCTTTGTTATTTCTTTTTCCATACTGTTTTTCCTTGAGTCGAGGGTCTATCAGAAACGACATCTCTATCTCTGTGGTAAGGGACTAGGGGTAAAGTCTGTACATATTTCATCCTCATCAAACACTACTTTGTGAGATTACACAAAATTTACACTGAATATATATATATATATATATATATATATATATATATATATTTAGTTTGACCTACTAATACTTGTCACATAAATTAAAATGGGAAAATTATATATTTATAACATAAATTTTCTTTGTTACAGCACGTAGGGCTATTATGCCTAATGATGGTTATAATGATGTTAGCACACCAATAAAACCACCAGGTAAACTTCTCCTATCTCAAATTTTTAGCTTATGTAAAATATAAGTTTTATTATTATTATCGTTGTGATTTCTGATTAAGCATATTTAATCTTCAATTCAAATGATATGTACAATTTTGATTTTTTTAGTATGATATTTATAAATTTAATAAATTATTAAGTATTGAATTATTCAATTAGCTATATGTTATGATAAAATCTATTTTCTTGTTTCATAATTGAGAATAATTAACAATATATTTATTTTATACATGAGTCTTATTATCCTCCTTAACTATTTAAAATCAAAATTATTAATCTATAACCATAATATATCAATATAAATTTATGCACAACTTAATGTAGATATAATTCTATATGTACGGTCAACCAAACACAATGTTGTCAGTCAAATGATGTATTATCTTATCACTATTTTTTTCATTAAAAAATATATTCTCATGGAAAAATGCTCAATGCTATTTTTATAGATATTTTAATTAAATTAGTAAATTTTTTTTATAATTTTCTCATACTGAAAATTATGAAAGCTTTTCAATATTTTAGTGAAAATCTATATGATAAATTTAAATTACTTATCAAATCAGATAAATTAATTTTATATGATTGAATTTAATTTAATTTTCTATGATAACAGATTATGGTGGAATTCCAATGCAACCTCATTCTTCTAAACTAGATCATTCAGCAATTGATAACCACCCACCACCTGTTGTTATACACCCACTCCCTGGTAAAATTCTCTCCAATATCTTTGTAATTTTTATTTTTTTTTTCACTCGATATCTCGTGTTTATACTAAAATTCGATTAAATATGTATTCACGCATTTATAGTCTCATTCTTTTCGTATGGCTCTCCAATAACTAAAAGGACAGGACTGGACGGGACCTTAGTGGAATATTCTAAAAAAAAAAAAAAGATATATATTAATTTAAATATAAAACTACTAATTAAAAATCACAATATTTTATAAAAAGTTATTGTGTGTGTTATTACTTCACGAGTTGATTAGTTGACCTATCTAGTGGTCCAACCCATCAAATTGTGGACGAGTTGAAAGGATTACATATTTCAATTGGCGAAGAACACGGTATGATGAGAGATGGTAATCTTTATTGGATTTGAGATACACAATTTAATCTGTTTGGCCAAATTTTTAAAATTAACTTATTTTGAAAAGTATTTTTATGTAAAGTTTCTTTTTGAACAAGCACTTTGAGTGAGGAGCTATTTGTTTACGTCAATTAATATTTTTGAGCAACAATTGATGTTTCGTCAAATTTCTAAAAAGTGTTTTTGGAAAAAGTATTTCTCATACACTTTTTTTTGGTAAATAAATTACTTTATTTATCAGAATTAATATGCATTACATAAAGAGTCACTTACAAATAGTGTCCAGATGTACACTATCAAAGTTAAAAGTGTTTATTAGTCAGGTGCAGTCAATTTTATATGT